TGGATGCTTTCTGAGTGAGAATTCAGGATAAGATGAAACAGTCAATTGTTCCTGTATGTCAATTCCAATATTCCTATGAGCTGCCAATATGACATTGCTGCCACAAGGGAGGGATTTCCTACAGAACAGATGTCACTTACAGTATTATGTGGGCTATCTATCTCAACAAATAATTGCTTGGCATTTCTGCCCTATGGCAAGGGTCTGAAAATATGTTAGGGTGGGAATGCACTATACAAGCAGATGGGCATAGATAAAAGAAAGAGCAAGAGCATACTGAGTCTGAAATGCATGTGTAAAAGCCAGGTGGGGGTACTGAAGCACATGTCTTTCCTTATCTTCAGCAACTAAAGCCCAAGATCAGAAATTTCCAGTTATTAGTTATTTAGAAGTTCTAGTCTAAAATTTCTTTAGATGAATATGTGTTGCATAAGGCTCCAATTTATTGAAACAAAGAAACCTTGCCTTTTTAATATAAACTGCAATTTCCATTTGAAATGAATGCTTTTTGCTTAAGGCCTGAAATTGATATGAGACTCCCAACACCAGTGCCCCCTACTTCCACCCTTCCCCCCCAAAAATGAAAAAGGAAAAAACTAGGCTGGGATAAGAGGAGGGACACAAAGACTGACAATGAATGACAAAGTACAATTGAGATGGGACTTGCCTGAGGGAGACAGCAAGAGAGGGAAAAAGGTTCTTTTAAAATATCAGTAAGAGAATCAAAGAAAGCAAGATCCTTTTTCTGATAAAAGGGGAAAAGTTAATAACAGTGAAGAAAGAAGGCAATTGCAATACATTCCAACTGCAATGGCAGAAAAGAAGATGAAGGTAGAATCAGAAAGTAACCATTTTAAATAAGTTTAACATATTTGTAGTTTTCACAATTCAAGGATCAAAGTTTTAAAAGTATTTAAACTATTTGCCTCAATAGCAGACCTGATTGACTAAATAATTGGTTGGAGAAAGAGAGTCCTCCTCTTGGTTTTGTTCACAAGAACCAGCAAAGGAATTTTTACTTTTAAAATAAAATTGACTCCAGAAAAAACCTTGGGGTTGGGAGTGGGGAACAATAATGAATATATTGTAAGTTATTAACAAGCATTAAGTGATATCTGGAATGGAATTTGGAATGGAAATGTATACTATTCCCACTTTTCTCAATTAGTCATGTTTGAGATTTCACCCACAGGGTTAGGTTCCACATCTAGACACCATGATTTACCTAGTAGAAGCCACTAGAAATAATTAGCATCTATATATCTGGGCTTACATATTTAAAACATAATTTAAAATGATGATAGCTGTGTTGCCACTAAAAATTAGCAAAATGAAGTTACAAGTTGAGTATATACTATTTTAAAACTCTAATGAATTTTTTTTTGGTTAATCCCTATGATGCATTTTCAAGTAGCTATGAGAAATTTGAAGATTTCTTGAAATTTGAAGTCATCGTAATTTATTAAAAGCCTCAAAAAAAAAAAGACATACAAGGAAAAGCTGAAAATGGACAACAGTCTTCACATTTATGGAGGGAGATTATAAAGTGAAAGGTGACCAATTTTCCATGTTTCAAGATAAGTAAAAGGAAATTAGGCTAAAATTATAGACCAATCATAGTGAAGAAGAACATTAATAATATAACATCAATGGATGCCACAATATATTACCCAAAAGGTTATGTAATTTTCTCTTCTTCATTACTTAAAATCAAGACAGTCCCTGAAAAGCAGGTTATTGATTAACAAGAATCACAGTGCCAGACTGTCTTACACTCCAGGTCTCTAAGGGAATAGGTAACTCCCACTCTTGTCCCCTTTGGCTTCAGCGAGCCATTTGCCTCCATTAGTAAGCTTTTGAGCTATAAAGACATTTTACAGGATGTTAGACACTACTAGTCTCAAGTGTATAATAAGTATTCAGACAACACAATGGGGATTACATGCCTTTAGTTTTCTTGATTATGAAGTTGGTCATAATTTGGATGAACTTACCTTAAACCACAGCTACCATTTCAGTTCATCCATTACTCATTATCAGATAGTAGTAGCATTTGCTCAGGGCCAACCATGCATTCTCATATTTATAACAAAAGGGAAATTTGTGGAAAAAATGTCCTCACTCTGATTAAAACACCTTTTTATAGACAATGTATAATAGTTCTCACTTTATGTTTTTCAGCTCTACAGCTTCTATAATTTCTATTCCTTTTATCAACACTAGAGACAAAGGGGCGTTTAAAGTATGTTAGGTATAATATACAGGCCACTTGACATAATTTCTTTTTTAAGCTTGAGTTTTCTTTTTGAAAAAAGCAAAGGTTTTAAAAGGTTTTTGAAATAGACAACTTCAAAAGTTTGTTCAGCATAAATGTAAATGAAATTTGTGTCTGGAGAAAATGACCAAATCCTACAGGTTATTTAACAAATTTCAAATACTCAAAGTACAACTAGAAAGTGGGGTCTAAGCATGGAAGATTGAGCAACTGATTCTGTGATTCGATTTTTGGTCTTTTACTCTTCTCTCTTGTTCTCTAAGTTTTACCTCAGTATCCAAGTTAACATCCTCTTGTGGATTTCTCCTTTTCTGTATTCCAACTCCTTTCCCTGCAGACCTCCTGCCCTATGACTCCAGAGAAAAGTAAAGACAAATGCCAACCCTGGAGAAATGAAGATGTGGGAAGTTCTTGGCAGACCAAGAAGAAGTAATATGTTTCCACCAAAAAATATTTATAGAAAGAGGTCAAAGGGAGACAAGACAATAGATATGAAAGTCCCAATTCCCTGTTCTGGGAAAAAACCATCTTTGTGTATGGAGTAGAGAGTTTCCAAAAGGACAAAGACCCCATTAGAGGGAAGAAGAAACATGAACAAGAGGGAGTTTGCTCTATTTTCCATTTATGACTTTAGCTTAATGAGCAAAATTAGAAAAAGCCCCTCTACCCTGCAGATGTGATTTAACAAATACAATCAATTAGAGTGTTAACTGGTAGAGAATTAACTAAGGCAACAAGAACAGGTACCATGATAGCCTGTGTTAATGAGCCACAACCTGGGATGGCTGCCTGGCTATCCTAATTTCTGGAACCATGTTTATAAAGCATCCCCTCTGTCATTCTAATTACATACTATTTCTTCTATCTCTCCCTACAGCCACAAAAGTGAATACCTGACCAATAAACACGATCATAGCACCACTATCACCTTAATAACCAGGCTAAAGGCTGGAAATGTGATCCTAGGAAATCTGGAATTTTTCACACTGGAGCTGAAAACATAAGCTCCTGTTTTCCTAGGTGACAAGTTGTAAGGATGTGAGCCTTGAGGGAATGAAGCCGACACAGTGTGCTGCATGGAGTTGCTGGTCTAAAAACAAAGACAATATGCAAAGAAAATCACAGGTGAGAAATAGACACTTCCTAATGGTATTCGAAGTCCTGGTTCCAGTCACTCCTGATATCAGCTATCCTTCCTAGTAATAGGAGTCAACAAATTCTCTTTGTGACTTAATCTACTTCCACGTGGGTTGTTCTTACTGGAAATCAACCGAGTCCTCACTAACAAAGCTAATGAGAAAGTGGTAAACCCCAACCAGATGGATAAATGATAACTGCCAACATTGCAATGGCATAGAACAATAACATTTTTGCTAACTGTGCAATTTTGAGCTAATTTCTTAAAATCTCTGAATCTCAGTTTATTATCTGGAAAATGGGGCTTACAGTTACTCTATTAGATTATTGAAAAATTAAAAATAATGTTGCAATGTATTAGCGTGATGGCTTTCCATAGCACTTCTTAACAAGGGCTAAAAATTTATATTTCTGATAATAAGGATATGAGGATAATGATGATGATGACCCTGAAAAGACAAAGATTATAGAACTCAGACATGATTAAATATGACTGATATAGCTAGTCCTGGAGAATGGATGTAGCAGTAATTTTAGGCTCAACTCAAATGCCTCCAGAATAATAAAGGCTTCCATGACTTCATCAAACCCATGTACAATTACTCGGCAACACACCTATGGTTCATAGTCTTTCTTTCATTGTATTTATTTATTTACCCTTCTACATTATAAAACCTGCATAGCAAGGTCTCTCTTTTTCATATCTGTACCCTATAGTTATAGCTCAGGAACTTGGTCAGAAGTAACTGCTAGAAATAGTAAATTAAACTGAACTCCAGAAGTTTACCGGGAGTCAGAAGAAATTTATTCCTATCTTTTCTCTATCATTTACTCATGTGTTCCCTTAAATAAACCACTAGCCTTAGGGTCATATACTCACTGCATTGGTCTTCAAAGTTAAATACTCTAACCTCCCACTCCAGTGCAAAAATCCCATCTAAAATACATTTGCTAACTTTGTACACTCAGATAGACCCTTTGCCAAAAAGCAATCTCCAATCTAACTACTTTTTGACATAATTATTCTCTCTCACATTGAACAACTCAACAAAGCAAAGCTTTAAAAGGCCCCAAATCATAGAGTCAGCAATAGAGACCCAGAATTCTAACTCAAAAACGTCAGTCTTTCTATACACTACAGCTCTTACTTGTGTATTAAAGACTTGGAATGTCTTTAGAAAGCTTATCATTCTTAATAATCTTCCTACTCCTATGGCACACCTCACTGATTGGTTCAGATATTCAAAGGAGATGATATAAAACTTCCTGGGGAGTACAAAATGCTACGACATATCAAGTTGTATTTGTATCTTAATGATGGTGTCGACTATAATGATTATAGGATGCTTTATTGCTCTAATATTTACATGCTATTTAATGAATCACGTGTTGGGAATTGAGAGGACACTCTGGATTTTTATCCTTATTTTCTTTTCAACTTTTGAGTATAATTAAAATGTAAGAATTAAATAGTAGATGATTACCTACTATATTTACTTAGAAATTATGGCTATATATATATATATATATATATATATATATATATATATATATATATATATACACACACACACACACAGACATATACCTTGGAAAAAGATGGTAATTGACTTGAAGAAATTTCTGGTCTTACTGGGAAAAGTCTCTGAAACATTGGTTTGTATGAATATTCATATGAAACTGTGTGTGCTGGGCCCTGGCTTCCTAGCTAATTTGAAGCCTCCTCTCCTTTTCTAATTGTCCTTTCAGGTGAAATTGAAGTCCAGTTAAAGCTTGTAACATATTTTTCTTCTTTTCTTTTCACTATTAATGGATTTAAAAAAAAAAAAAGGACCTCTGCAAAAAACATGCAAAGAATTATTTTCTTTTATCACCTGAGATTACATATTGTCAAATAAATCTAGTAAATGATAGAGGAAGCATCTGAAATAGGAAAACAAACTCATTCTTTAATGGCTATGATTCACCCATAAAGATACAGTTCTTAATGTTCAAGTTTAAAAAAAAAAAGATGAGAAGAAACAGTTGGCATTCAGCTAACAATTGTGTTTGGAGATTTGTGCCTGACTTTGTTATTCTGAGCAAAGCCAGGTGCCAGTCTCTTGGGATTATGTACAAAGGCAAGAAAAAAAGTGGACATGTACAAACCTCAAAGGTGACTGCTGGGTTAATAAAACAGTCTGTTTTCTGTTCACCCACTCTTGCTCTCAGTGTGCAAGTATATTAAAATATGTCAAAAGGAAAACCATTCGCTGTGCAAAAATAATTCAACTACAAGTCACAATTTCCAGCTGCTGGAGCGCCTTAGTGCATTTAAGTGCACTAACAAGTGACCCATACATCTCCCTGGATGAAAGTTGTGTCCTCATTAAAGGAGAAACAAACACAAAATAAGAACAACTGTCACATAGTAAAACAGACCACAATAGATGCTGCATTTCCCCACTCTGTTTCTGACTTGAGCTATTACAGACTGAAGAGCAGTGCTGTCCTAGAAGTCACCTCTTAAAAAGCCATGAAAGTAAAACAAGGAAGCTGCTAGAGGAACTGAATGTGTAGCTAATGGCCATTCATATTAGTGTTCAATGTATCTGGAAAAAGATCTTTTTCTCTCTAGTCTCTGTAAAATCTCTCACCAAATAAAACATTGTAATAATGTGAAGTGGCTAGATTAAACAGATGCACCCCAGGGAATTTAGAATTGATGTTCTAATTTATATCTTTAAATAACCCCTCTTAGATAAACTCTGGCTTAAGAATTTATAAGATATTCATACCAACCTTTGCTTTTCTGATTTTTCTCTAGAAAACTATATCATTGATATGAATCTGCAAAAAAATAAAGACAAAAAAGAGGTTAATGTTGTTCAATCTAATAATACTGTTCTTGTTTGATTAATACGTTACACATTACTTTAAGGCAAAAGAAACATTGGATGCTCAATGTGATAGCTCTGGTCTTCAGCACAGCAGGATATATTTTTAAAAACATTTGTGATCAAAACTAGATAATAATCTGGAACAATAAGGGAACGATATTGGAGAAAATATAACTAATTACAAAATGTGGTACCAGCAATGGTTTCAAAGCTACGTAAAGTATTCCTCTTGTATACAGGGACATCTTTGTTCAGCTGTTTTCATAGCAGTTACCAGACATTATTGCAATTGGCAATTTACTCTGTTGTGCCTCCCATACTAGAATGCAAGCTCCTCAAAGGCAAGATTTCTTATGTGTCATTTTTTATGCTGTTGGAACCCCCATCTCATATAATCCCTGGCACATAATAGGAATTTAAAAATTATTGATTGGTTGGGTGGTTAACTGACTAAATATAGTTGTGCTTTTGACAGTCTGTGTTTCACTTTGAACTACCTTTTCTGGAAGACAGCAGAAGAACTGTAAAGAGAAGGTGGACCTAGGAAGACATCAACAATTTCTGTGGCAAATTACAGCCCAGAAACAATGGAGATACACATAGAAAAGCAGAACTACTCAACTCTGAACTATGCTTTAAACTTAAGTATATGGAACAATCATTAAAATGAAATTGAAGCCCAATATAAGAGGAAATGTAATAAGGGATAAGCAAACCAATCTAAAAGAATTAAATTATCCAGGCCTAAAACAATTATGTAAGCTTGGAACAAGAAAAGTATTTGAGGAACCCAAATTAATGATAAGAATAACTCATTAAAAATGGGAAATGATCTATTTGGATACCAAGAAGTAGTGGGCTTGATTTTTAGCCCCCATGAAATTCTAAACAGAATATCGAACAGCTAGTCTAGGAAGTCATGAAAAATAAAGTGTAATTCACTAGGAGATAGTATTGTATGAAGTCAAAAGAATATTGTATGAAAGCAAAATCCTGGGTTCATGTTCTACATGTGTACCCTGGTTACTTTTGTGATTTCTTCTTTTCCCTGCTTGTTGTGAGATGAATTGTGTCCTCAAAAATCTGTTGAACCTGTAAATATGACCTTATTTGGAAATAGGGTCTTTGCAGATGTAATTAAGTTACAAGTTAAGATGAGGTCATACTGGAGGAGGGTGAGTCCTTAGTCTATATGTCTGGTGTCCTGAAAGGAAGTGGAGAAGAGACATCGCGAACACAGGCAGACATGGAAGAACACCGTGTGATGATGGAGGCAGAGACTGGAATTGTGCCAAGAGGGAAGCATGGAACTCTGACTCAGCCTCCCAAAAAGAATCACTCCTGCTGACACCTTGATTTTGCACTTCTGGCCCCCAGTGCTGTGAGAAAATAGATTTCTGTGTTTTTAAGTGGCCAAGTTTTTGGTAATTTGCTGTAACAACCCTACTTAACTAGTATGCCATTCTATAGAATGAAATTAGTGACAAATCTTCATAAGGTGCTTGTCAGGAAGATTATACAGTTTAACATCAGCAATTCTTAATTTCAGCAAAGCATTTCACAAAGTTTCTTGTAATGTGTTCAACAATAAAATAAATTTATGTGAGCTCAATTATTAGTTAGGATCAAAGTTGTTAAAACTATCATTCTCAAAGAGCTGATTAATAATTCAACATAAACCTACTTTTTCCCAAAATTTTCATTTATCGGTATATTGAAAATAGTTCTCAGGCCTTGAACCTCTATATTTTAGGCCTTTGGAGATAAATGGACAGATGTTGGGAAACTGATCTTGAGTAATATTTGTAGTGGTGGACATAGAACCTTCATTCACCTGTTGCTTTTAATACATTAACAACACTTAGAGAAATTCACAGAATGGAAGCTACTCAAATATAAGAAAAAATAAGTTGGGAGAAACAACATTCACTAAAAGACAAAATCAATAATTACAAATAAAATTCTTATTATTTTAATGATTATTATTTAATAATTATTATTATAGTATGATTTAATCATTATTAATAACAATTTAATCATTTGAATCCCTAACAGTACTTATACATAATAGATACTCAATAAATTACTATTATTATTAATAGTGTAATACTCTAGAATAATGAGTCTAACTCACTAAGGTGGAAAATACAATATTTCATTTGAGTTCCAAATTTAAATAGATGTCAAGTGGGAAATATATAGGTTCATCATAAATTCATATAAAATAGACATGGAGATTTCAGTTGGCTAAAGTCTTAAAGTGTCCAAACAGTGTTTTTCTGGCCTCTAAAACAAAAACAAAAACAAAACAAACAACAAAGGTGAGAACTTGGAATGAATTAAGAGGTGTATGTAAGCTTGTGATAATTTGCAGAAGGAGAAGATAAGAGGTATGTTTTTCTCAAAGCAGAGATTCTTCTTTTGACATTTGACAATACCCTGCATGATAGAGAAATGAAAGAGAGTTCCAAAGGAGATGGAGGGTTCTATACATTCCCACCCAAACTTCTGAAAGATAAAAAGAGGTAGGCTCCCAAGGCATGCAAATCAGTGCCACAGGAAGATCTGGGTGAAAGATATTTCTTCTGCTTCCTAGAAACAATTGAAGCTTCACAGTAGCAGCATCCAAGAAATGTAACAGCCTTAAGAAATACCAGAGTTTCCCTCAGACTAAAGTGTGCAAAGAATGGCCACAGGCGTCTGAGGGGCTAAAGGAAAGATATCAGTTAGGAAGAGACATTGGAGCATCTCAATCTCCAAGATCCAAAGGAGGCCCTAAAGTATTGGGAAAGGGAGACCAAGTAACAGAAGGTGAAGACAAAGGCATGAAAAGAGAAAAATTTCCCCCACACTGTCATGAGCTTTGGTGATACCCAAGAAAAGGGGGGAAAGTAGGGCAAATCTAATGTTAGTTGGCTTTTTCTTAATTAAACCTCTGTCTCTAGGCTCGTAGGTATATCACATGCAACGGGGAACCTTCTTGATATAAAGTGTGTTTCCCTAGATGTTGACCAGGACACATTGCCTATGATACTCATCACAGAAGTAATTCAGGTTCTTTATACTTGAGTTCTTTCCAATGTCAGGTTTCAGACAGGTTTGCATACCCACTGTACTGGTTTCCTATGGATGCTGTAAAACAATTACCAAAATTTTGGTGGCTTGAAAAAAAAAACCCCACAATTTTCTTCTCTTAAAGTTACAGGACAAACACCTGAAATCAGTTTCTCTGGGATAAAGTCAAAGTGTCAGCAGCGCTGGTTCCTTCTGGAGGCTCTAGGGGAGAATCCATTTCCTTATTTTATTCAAATTTTAAAGATTGCCTATATTCCTTGGCTTGTGGCTCCTTCCTCCATCTTCAAAGTGGGTCACTCCAGTCTCCGCTTCTGTGGTCACATGTCCCTGACTGACTTCTGCATCCCTCTTACAATTACTATGGCAATTACATAGGGCCCACCCTGATAATCCAGAGTAATAGCCCCGTCTTAAGATCCCTAACTTAATCATATCAGCAAGGGCCCTTTTGGCATATAATGTAATACCCACAGGTTCCAGAAGTTAGGATGTGGACATATTTGGGGGCCCTTTATCCAGCATAGCATGTTCATTTTAAAAGAAACATTATAGAAAGGGAGGACAATATAGAGTGAAAGCATAAACTAGCTCTGCTTGCTTCACAAATGCTTATAATGTTTTTTCTTGGCCAGATGCTTTTCTAAGTGCATTACAAATGTTAATTCATTTAATCTTCATGACAGCCTTAGGATGTAAGAATTATTATAATCCCCATTTCACTGATGGGAAAATTGAGGCACAGAAAGGATAAATTACTCACAGATGGTTTTGTGGTTATTTATAGCCAGTATGCCTCGGGAGATGGCATCCTAGAGCCAGGATGCCATCCAAATCATGCCTCTTAGCTGGGTGGCCTTGACACTGTGTTTTCACTGGGAAAAACGTGTTTCATATGGTTAGTGTAAGGATTAAAAGAAATAATGTATATAAAATAGTTATTACAGTTGCTCATTCAAAATATACTCATTACACAGTAAATGACAAAATAAACATATCAGAAACATTAACCAAAACAAACCTCCCCACTCTACAAAAAAAACAAAACAAAACAGGAAAAGAAGAATAAGGATGGTTAGGGAATTGGAAATGCTATCATCTGGAAAATGGTAGTTTAGCTTGGAGAAGAAAAGAATTATGGGGACATGATAGCTGTCTTGAAATATGTGATGAACTTTCATGTGAAAGGGGAAGTAGATTTATTTTAATGTTCCCCCATAAAACCAAACTAAAACCTAAGGGTGAAAATTACACGGTGATAAAATCAGGCTCAAAAGAAAGAGAATGATCTAATAATTAGAGTGATCCACCAATGGAAAAACCTGCCTCAGAATTTTGTAAGCTTTTAGTCCATTGGAATGTTCAAGCACAAGTTAAATGACTTTCTGTAGTATATGAAATACAGAAAGAATTTTAACAATGAGAGAGATATTAAAATACATTCATGCATTTATTCAGTAAATATTTACTGAACATCTGTGTGCAGCACCTGTAAGGCCCCTTACAGCTCTGAAAATAACAGAATCTACTATTCTATAATAGAAGGAATATATAAGAACACATGTCACAAAAATGGACATAATTTCAGACTGATTCTCATTGCAAGGATCTACTGATTTTTCAGCTGCCAGGCTCTTTGGCTGGTCTGGTATGATCTGCAATAAGCCTTTATTTCCACAATAATTTACACTAGTCACAGGAAGACTTTTTCTACAGTGAAGAATTAGTTTTTAATAGGAAAAAAAATCACTCATTTTGCATTCTGATAGCAGGGGCTTTTCTTAAAAGGAGAGAATAGAGTTTGTTCAACAATGGTTAGTTTTTTTTTTCTTTTGGCCTAGGCAAACAAGTATAATAATCAACATCCTTTAAACAAAA